AACCCAGGAAGCTCCTGCGCCACCCCGGGTCGGCCATTCAGCTATGACTACGTCGCTTGCGGCCGACACAGGGAAGCAGCACGTTGAACAATTCGCGGATGTCGCCGTCGACTTGTTTGCAGAATTCGATCGAGATCTGCTCATGGAATTCTTGCAAGCGTCCACCGCTTACACTTTCGAAAACGCTGTCAAGATATGCGAAAGGCAGCATTACGTCGAGGAACTTGTCTACCTCTTGAGCAAGACGGGACAGACCAAAAAGGCACTGTTTTTGATCATTGATGAATTGAAGGATGTCTCAAAGGCTATCGCTTTCGCCAAGGAGCAAGATGATCAGAGCCTCTGGGACGATTTTCTCGAATACAGCATGTCACGACCGAGATTCATTTCAGGTCTCCTGGCAGAGGTTGGGACTGCCATTGACCCTATTACCTTGGTGAAGAGAATACCTTCTGGACTGGAAGTGGAGGGCCTAAAAGATGGGCTGAAGAAGATGATTCGAGAGTATGATTTACAAGACAGTATCAGCGCTGGCGTTGCGCGAGTACTCAGCAGTGAGGTTGCCGTTGGCATGGAGACGCTGAGAAGAGGTCGAAGGAAAGGTATCAGGTTCGACATTGTCGCTCCAAGTGTGAAACACCAACGGCCATCTGCCCAGGACGTTGCTGGCTCCAAGGATCAGCTGGCAGAGGAAACAAAACCTGAGGCCGAACCAGGACCGGAGGTGAAACCAGGACACTGTTCGTCGTGTCATAAAGCGTTCCATGAAAATGAAACCGAAACCTTGGTCGGGTTCGCTTGTGGGCATGTCTATCACGTCTCACATCTGCTGCATGGTCCCGAGGCAGAAGGAGATGAGGTGCTACTACCTCAGAATGGGATTCGTCCGGATGATGGCGAGGCTGAAGAAACCAGGTTTTCCAGATCAGTGGGACCAAAGGTCACAAATGCGCGTTTACTGAAAGATAAGATACAGAACATTGGGGGATGTACTATATGCAAGGCGTCGAGGGAACGAGTGGAGGCTGTGGGTGGCTGACAGGGCTCCGACTCACTGTCGCTGACCTTTCAGTTGCTTTGTCCACACTGCGGTTGCTTCACGACAGCCTTGCGAACGTCCGAGCCAAAACAATAAGCCTGCGTGCGGATTGTCGAGGATACTGCACGGCAAGCAACGTGCGGAGGGACAGAACTGCGACAATAGGGCACAGTCTCTTACCCATCGACTCGAGATTCTGCCCGCACAGCTTTTGACCTCCTTTGTTCCCCAGATTGTTGACGATATTGTACCATTTAGAGGCCGATACCAACCGAATCTTGCGGAAGCCATCCTCGTATTCCACCACGTGGCCTAAGCGCTTACGCTCGCCCCCGCTTATCCTTGTCTCATATTTGCCTCGACCAGGGCAGACGGGAGATCGTCCTCCATGGTCAATTGCGGCCGGATGGCGAGGCATACGGCCGAGGTGATGCTCCGTTTCGCGATGCCTTTACCTTCTGTGGCATCTCGTTCGCTTGTTGTGGAAAGTGGATCATTCGGCTTCGACTTCTAGTTGTCCTTGTCTGTTTCTGGACGGTCTTCCTACCTTCTCCGTGCTTACTCTACCTAGGACGTGTTCAAGGTACTTAAAGGGCAAGGCCCCCATGACATCGGCGACCTTCTGAAGCCCGAACCTTCTTTGATTCGAGATGAGTGGAGGTGGTGTGCTCTGGCTGAAGCCCGAAGACTGGAAAGCAGCAAGTTTCTTGCCCTTTCTCTGGCAATGTGGGGTGTTTCTCTCGTGATCAAGGATGGAACGATGCAAGACTGTGTTCTGTGGCGGAAATTGAGGGATCTGTCGCTGTCACGTCGTCGAACCGAACAGACCTGGAGCCGGGGAGCCAACGGGACACAGCAGGGTGAGCGCCTAGCTGGAAGAGAGGGGAGAGTTGAGTGGATGCAGTCGAGGGCGGTTCTCAAATGCTACTGAAGCGATAACGAAAGGAGTTTTGGGCTGTGCATCCTGACCTGGCCTGCACCAACATGGTATGACTGGATGCAACCGTTTCCACATCGAGCACCTTTCCTGGCACTTTGATCGAATACGAGAGAACTCGTCTGTGTTGATGCCCGATACTCTGGACGTGTGAGCTGGCGGAAGATGAAGCCCTCATGACTGTCTTTGATTCAGGCTGCTCATTGTGAATCTAGCTAACTAGGTAAATCGAGACCATTCCGAACAATCTCTCGGCCCTACGACGATTGACACGAAGCGAAGCATGTGATTTGGTGAATTCGAATGTGTCTTTGTTCTCGCAGCGAAAGTTTACGGAGCTGCTCCCTTTCACATTCGTCTTCGAGGAGGAGGACGACAACAACACCCTCGGATCATGCCCCCCTATTCGACCCTCTCTGCCTTGTCGCCTGGCTAGATAGATGACAAACCCGATTGTCTGGATTTTGTCTATCTCTGCCTTTGCACTCCACCCACGCCCTTTTCCTTCCTCCCTCCTCTCGCTTGGTGACAAGACAAGACAAGACATGACAGCACAGGACAAGAGAGGCGAAACAAACCGCAAGATGAGGCACAGATCACAAATACCACGTTTCACTTCAGCCGGCCATGTCGAACAGAAGATCACGGAAGGACAGAGGGGTGGTCGGATGGTCGGATTCCTGTAGATAGGTGGGTAGACAGCACAAGTCAAGAACACTGATATTGTTACAAACGACCAATGGCCTATCCTATTGGACATTGATATGTCAAAAGAGTCAAAAGAGAACGAGGCCGATGCTCGGTATCCAGCAAAGCAGAACCAGAGGTCCCTCCTTACCCATTGCCATGATCTCGTGTCTCTCCATCGACCGGCAAACACGTCCGCTAGCTCGCAGAATCGACGCTAGATGCACCCAGGCCACCTGGTCCGTTCGAGCCGTGAGTGGTAGGTGCTTTGGAACATGTGGTCGTCGCGGTGTCCTTATGCCAGCCTCGAAATGGGCTGTGTGTATATCCCAGCCTTCCTCGCCAGTCCCGTAGCGCTCAGCCTTGTGTTCCACCGCCCGACCCAGTCGCTCTCCTCTCCGCCATAAACGCCCGCACGCCCTCTAGCCGCGTCACAAAGAACAGCCGCTTCGTGTCGTCCTTCCACACCAGCACACCAGTCTCGTCCGCGTACCGACAATTGGCTTCGTATTCTGCCCGCGTGGAGAAATCCCGGAAGAGAAACCCTGGGGTGGTGGTCATGCGGTCTCTTTCCAGCTGCCACAGGTGGATCTGATCTAATATCGTCGCAGGCAGGATCGGCACCGTTCTCTGTACCTGCGATTCGGTAGTGGTGCCCCTCGCCAGCAAGGCGGCTTGCTCTGCCTGCGCGTGCCTCCTCATTTGGGGGTGCGCATGGGTTGTAAGATACGAAATGATCTGATCAGCTGTGATGCCGGCCTGAACGGCTCGTTGGACCGATGCCTTGCTCATTTTCCCTGTCACGAGATTGGGGTGGCGGGAACGCAGGTTGACGAAAAGTGAGAGAAGGGCGATCTGTAAGGGAGACGAGGTGTAGGCATAGACGCGGTAGTTGGTTTCGACAATGATAAAGCCCTTTTGTGTGACGGTACCGGAAGGTGTGGTGGTGCCTGATGAGGAGGAGTATTTCTGTGAGAGAGACGTACCGATGGTCAGGTTGGTTGTCGACAGAGCCGAGGCCGAGTCGGACGTTAGGGTGGTTGCTAGACGCGTTGGGTAGAAGTGGTTGGCAGGGTTAATGCCGTCGTCTGACAGAGGTTGGTAGACGAGTCCAAGAGAAACCAGGTCCGACAGGCAGCGCCGCTGGGTTTCATCCAGAGTAGAGGTCGAGTATGCCAGCCCTAATTCTAGGGACGAGACAAGAAAAAGAAACGACAGGACATCGACTTTGTCCATGTCAAAGACCTCGGCGTTATCCACGTAGAGAAAAAGCAATGCCCATACCTGGGTATTGATGTCTTGCAAGACAAACGCAAAGCCTTCCTTCGTGATCCTGGCTCTTTGGCCATGGCTGTACGCCCCGCTGACCTCGATGAGATGACCAGCCTTCAAAAGCTCGATGACTCCTGGCGCCGGTTCGATCGCTGGCTGTTCATTTGCAGTCTCAAGTGGTATGGAAGAAGATCCAACCATGTAACCCAATATGCCTTCCCATCGCTGGCGAGAATACTCATCCAGTTGCGATATCGTGACCTTGCGACCCTCGGGAACTCGAGCGACCTGCCCAAAAGACCGGGTGTCTCCTGCTCCCGTCAAAGCGCGACGAAGAGATTTAGCAAAGTCCGGAGTCAACGCATATGCTTTTGTCGAGTTGAGAGTGACATCTCGAAATATGTGGTAACGGTGAAGTAAATCCAAAGCGTGCTCACGTTCACCCCGGCTGGTGTCCTTGACAAACTGTTCGAGTTGTTTGACTGGCAGAGGTCGGGGCATGTACAACAGCATCAAGACAAAGGACTTCGCCAGTGCTGACAGTCGCTTTCGAAATATCGCCAGAGCAGAGGCTGGACTCCGGTAGAGACGGTAGAATTGAGTCCCTGGGAGTGTCTCGAGGTACTCCCATGATTGAAGTGTTGCGTCCGCCATGATCACTAGGCCAAATCAATAGAAAGTCGGAGACGCACACGCTTAGCTCCCCGTTACCATCTTCACCTATACGTCATCTCGTTCCGCTGATGCACATGCCCCGAGGTGACAGTGATGGGAAGTCCAAGGGGAATAGATGGTGATAGAGCCTCATTCCTAGGCAAACAAGGCTCAAATTGAGTAAAAAATGCCAAGAGGATCATGTCTTCTTTGGTACAAATATCTCGCTGCTTTTGTAGATGTCCTGACAAGGCTCTGATGGAGCGGCTACAACGCATTTTGTCACGAAACAACCTCTCTAAGTAGAGATAATAACAAGGCTCCCAATATCATGTTGCTAGTTTCAGCACTATTTTGAATGGTAGAGACATGTGTCGACGCCTAATGACTCTACCATAGGACTTTCTAAAGCTAAGACCATCCTGGACTGCTGACCACAGAAGATATACCTCCCCATCCTTCCATTTGTGCAGCATTGAATTCCAGCCTTGGCTTATCCAAAGCTGCGAGTATGGTTGGATCATCCGAATGGTACCGTGCAAGATACAGGCAAATTGCCTGCCCCTGAAGGATAGATCGAGATGAAATCCACCAAGAACCTCTGCACACTTTCATGTACCAATACACAAGTATAAGCAACGCCCAAGGATCTTTTCGCACAAGGAGGGACTTGTAGAGTGGATCTATCTGGTTGACAAACCCAAGGTACCGCAGCCAGGTGGAGTCATCGCATTCGAGGTCCAATAAGGGTAGGAGCCGTGTTGCAGTCCTGTAGTATGGATTGACCCGAGCTGATGGCGACTCAGTATCTTCGGCACAGAGATGGTCAAATATCGAAGGGCTGTGATCAGGGATTTGATTTTCAGGCAGCTTGTCGTGATCGAATGCAATGCCTACCTGTCGCCAAAGGCTGTCGACTTTCAAAGGGCTGGCCAACCGCCAGATGGTTTGTTTTCCGTCGCTCAAGTTGAGCCAAGCCATGTCAGTATCCTGCAACGGCCAGACATCTTCGACGGACGACGCCTCGAGGTTGAAAAAGCTCACAACCCCAAGGAGGGATGAGGCGAGGAGCAACGCATCCCCTTCGTCGCGTCTGATGGGGCGGGAGAGAATGCTCTGGAAGGAAACCAAGGCTTTGTTCAAGTGGTAGGCTTCGGTTGTGCTGGGTCTCGATGTAGCCACTCCACACAAGTAACGATCGTGGGACTCGGTCACTGCCTGGGCCAAATGCATGAGCAAGGGGTTCGCACAGGCGAGTGGGATGATTTCCCTCTGGAAAACCCGGGCAGCTCTCTTTGTGCCAATGCTGAGAACTGTCCTAGTTTGAAATCTGTCAAGTCGTGCCAGATCAGATTTGTCGAATCGCGTAGCTCCACTCTGCGACTCCAGTTCAGAAGTGCTTTTGTCCAAGGAGATAGTGATCATGTCTAAGATAGGTTTAGTCGTTCCCAAAGGCGACCTTTCCACCCTCGATTGCAGATAGCCAAGTTCAGAAGCGGGGGTTCGAGGCTGGAGATCAGGTATACTAGGATCGTAATTGCATAACACGCCGTATTCCAGACACTTTCCACACATTGGTCGGACCTCGTTGCATTTGACTCTGCGGATTTTACAATTGCGACAGCCTAGCCGAGACTTCTTGTGAGCCCTTCGCTTGCGAACAGTGGCATTGTCAACGGGAGTAGTTGGCACGCGGCCTTGACTGTATTTGGTCGTCCTGGCCATTGGAGGTTTAATAGTGTTATGAATATGATGCTAACAAATTCTCGTGAGCCCGATTCAACAAAAGTTGATCCCACCAGGGAGATTGGTGAAGTGCTAATTGTTTATCGCGTGCTTGCTGAGCAGTTCGACAAGAGGCTGCCAGCAGCATGGTAACGAGAAGGAAAGACAGCGTCATGGACTCGGCCGGAGTTTAGCAAGAAACGCAAGAGTCTCCTAACAAAGAGCGCCGGATATTAGCCTGCAAACCCCATTTTGGTCTTGGACGAAACAAGCAATGGTTGACGGAGGAAAGGGTCCGAGGTCATCTTGCGCCAACTGGCGGGTTGCAGAATCTGCGCTAACCTCGACTCGTATTCACTGTTCCGTGTCAGTGGCCCCAGAGAGGTTTAAAATTCAAAGGTGGTGTGTCTCCCATCATAAAACAAGGGTGAAGATGGCATCAACAGTGACCAGAGAAACCGACAAAGCGAAATCTGAGGAAGAGGAAGTGTACGGGGGGGATGATGATTTCGAGGTGTGCGCCACTTCATCTGGGAGCAGTTGATACGGTGGATCATTTTTGCGTCTTGCTGCGGCGAATCAAACAGCCTGTCAAACGTAATTTCCTTCACCATCTCATTTCGACTTCATTGGATCTCGGCCTAAGAACACGTTGGTTGATATCTTTACGCTTTAGAATTTGGCCACTATCAACCTTCAGTCCGATCTCACTCCGTGGTTCGAGTGCTCCGGGTGCTCCGTTGGGTCCAGTATTGAATTGGCAGTACGAGTGGCGGTCTTAGAAGCTTGCCAGCAATACAATGTCGGCACTAAAGTTCGTCCGCTCGGTGAGTTTCCAGCAATCTATGAGCTTAGAGCGACATAGAGCTAACGCCTTGTAGGTATGGGAATCCTTTAGAGCAACATCGGGGGTTGAGCCACGGTAATTCTCTTCATCCATGATCCAAAGCACTCTTGTTAAGCTAGCAGAACAACAGGTTGATCGACGGCGTAAGTATCACCAACTGGCAAAGTCGGACCAAATCACCATACCACGTCTTGATGAGCTTGCCGCAAGTGGAACTTGGTCTTTGACTCAATTGTGTCGTTCAGATGCGGATAACAGCTGCGGAACCTGGCAAGGTCAATTTCGAACTACCCATTGAGAAGCAGCACACGAACCGCTTAGGGATACTCCACGGCGCCACTCTAGCCACCATGGTCGATACTAGTGGCTCACTTGCTCTGGCATCTCGTGGCCTGTACTCGACAGGAGTTTCGACAGATCTCAGCGTGACCTACCTCAACGCAGGGGGTAAGATCGGTGATTTGGTCAAAGGCGAGGTCATCTGCGACAAATGTGAGATATGCGCTCTTTCTTCTACCAAAGGTGCAGTTTGTGCTGACCTCGTCTAGTCGGCAAAACCCTCGCATACACTTCGGTCAAGTTCATGAACAAGAATAACGAGATCGTGGCTCGAGGAAGCCACACCAAATTCGTCGCCCTCGCCTGGAAGGACGAGAGAAATATTACAGAGGATCTGAAACCCGAAGTCAGCGAATCCAAAGCCAGTGAAGTCACGCGGACGAGTTTCAAGTGATTTGACTATCTCTTCTTGTCTATAGGATTTTTGGAGGGCTATGTACATAGATGTATGAACCATGTTCAGAGCCAATAGATGGTGTACCAGCACATGCTGCAGTTTTTCTCTTTACCCTGCCACGGGAGACGGCATGAACGATGCGTAAGGCCTCCGAGCCATATGCACACGGTCTATGGACTGAGTGCGCCACAACTTAGAATACACGAACTCGGACCTCACGAACAGGACAAGATCATTCTCGATGGTACCACCTAATAGTGCCTCGGTAGTGTCCATTGCCCCTTTTCCCCAGCCTTGCTAGACCTCGAGAAGGGCTCGAAAGTGGCCGATTTCAATCGTCACGTACAATTGAAGAGTTAAGGCCAGTGGCAAACCGGGAAAATTGGGACAACTACATGGTAAATAGATCATCCTGCGGTGCGACCAACACTGGTGGAGGATGAAGTGGCGGGGAAAATGGAGAAGGGAACGAAGAACATGTTGATTGAGCAGCGTTCGCCAAGGATGCTTGCTGCCTGGTAAAGCGGCGAGAGATGCTTGAGTGCATGTTTGCCGGACGCGGAACCATTGTGATGCGACAACTTCTTTTCTAGAAAATCATATTGACGTTCCAGACACCCATCGAATGCTCTCTCGTACCCTGCATACCCATACGCGACAGGCTTGTCCGGGCTACCACCATAGATATTATTTCTCCAAGTAGATCCCTGATCTCCTGGAAGGAATGATGAGGGCTGCATAAAGTCGCCATGCCTCGCGCACCCAAGTCCACACGAAGCACCCCCGGCCTTCCCTCCACGACTTTCGTCCTCGACAATGGCGGTTACAGCATAAAGGCAGGTTTCGCACCCTTAGGACCTGTTTCGGACGCGGACGCCCTGTCAAAATGCCATATCATTCCAAACTGCATTGTCCGCAGCCGTGACAGGAAAGTTTACGTCGGTTCGCAATCCGAAGAAATCACACAATGGAGCGAGGCCTTGTTTCGTCGGCCCGTCGAGAACGGCCAGGTCGTGAGCTGGGAGGCGCAGAAAGAGATATGGGATCAGTCCTTCTTCGATGAACGGATTGCTAAGAAGGATCTGTTGGTGAAGAGTCCCGAGGACACGACCCTCATCTTCACCGAGCCACCTAATACTATGCCTCCTTTCCAGAAGAATGCAGATGAGATTATCATGGAAGAGTGGGGTTTTGGGGGATATTCCAGGGTCATTGGTAGGTATGGCTAAGCCAGAGACACCTCGCATTGAGGATACCTTCGCTGATGTGCAGAGCAGGCCCGTCACTTAATGCCTACAATGATCTTCACCCGCTATTCGAAGGAGCATCCTACACGAAGCCAGACAACGACCCTTGGGCAGACCTGCCTATGGAATGCGTGCTTGTGATCGACAGCGGCTACAGCCATACCACCATCACACCGCTCTTCAAAGGCCGCCCATTGCACCGAGCAGTCCGCCGATTGGATTTCGGAGGCAAGCACCTGACGAATCTGTTAAAAGAAGTTATCTCTGTTCGACATTTTGATTTGCATCAAGACACCAAGATCGTCAATGACATCAAGGAGGATGTATGTTTTGTCAGTGGAGATTTCCGAACCGACCTGGAGAAGACGTGGAAGGGAAACAAAACGAAGCTGAAATCAACGCCCTCGAATCCGGACGCGGCTATGGACGTCGACCACAAAGCTTCCCCGGAAAATCAGGAGATTCGAGTTGACTATATCCTCCCTGATGGCATTCATCTTCTTCGAGGGTTCAGCCGTCCACATGATCCCACCCCCGCCGCCGCACGTAAGCGCAAACAGGCCGCCCTCTCCTCGGGGCCAGACGCCGAAATCTCAATGACCTTGGGAAATGAACGCTTCTCTATCCCAGAAATCATCTTCTCGCCTGGCGACATAGGCTCGAAACAGCCCGGGTTAGCAGATATTGTGATGCAATCGCTCAGTGTCCTTCCCCCGCTCTTGCAGGTCACCATGCTCAGCAACGTCCTCCTCGTCGGCGGAAATGCGCATATTACTGGATTTGCAGAGAGGCTAGAAGCCGAGCTACGCATGAGGGTGAAGACTGAATGGATGGTTCGAGTTCGTAAAATGGCGGAGCCTATCACGTCAACTTGGCTGGGAGGCGCAAGGTTGGCGTGTGGATTTCCGGGGATTGTCCGGGAGTACGGTGTTACGCGAGAAGAGTATCTGGAACATGGGAGTGCCTGGGTCGCCAGACGTTTTGTGAGCGGCGGCAGTGGGAAAGGGCCTTGAAGAATTTTGAATCAACACATACATGCATATCCTCTTCATCAGAGAGCCTATCGGGAGGTTTGTCCCTGCTTCCTGGAAGTCAACCGCCTTGACAAACATGAACCTTTCTACAACGCACAAGGAACAGCCTCAAAGCAGGGACGATTTGATTCAACAAGAACATTCATATCGCTAGAGACTTGGATGACTAGGGTTGATCCAGAGCCAACTTCCAGGCATATAATGCCATCCCGACACAAGCGCCTAATGCGAAAAGCGTACGCCATGTGAAGTTGGGCTGAGCATGGGGAGTGCCGACGTGGCAAGGATGATGACAGATCTCTCCATTCTCCCCTTGGCCTCTACATTCGGGGACCGTCGTCGTTCCCATGAACGCAGCTGCAACCCTCTCTGTATCCTTGGAGTCGTCCCAAGCCTTGGTCGACTCTCCCTCGATCGACTGCAAGGGCTCTCGACCCACAGACTCGGCCTCATCCACCTCACAAAACCGGTCATGGTCTACGCTCTCTTCATCGCCGTCGCGAAGGGAATCCCCGCGCCGGCTTACGTCCCAGTCGTCGTCATCATCGGCTTCACCACCGCCCCCATAATCATCATAGTCGGTCTCGTCCTCGCGGCCATCGTAATGCTCTGACTCTGAGTCCTCGTCCCCTGCTACAAGGTATGCGTCGGTCGGATATGCACCCTCGGGGTACTCGCCTGCGGGATAGCGAGGGTCGTCGGAGTACTCGACTCTGAGACTGTGGTCAGGGTACACGCTGTTGAAGTAGTGGTACGCGCGGGGGCATCTGTTCACGTGGGTGAGTTTATCCTCGACGACAGCGCTGCCAGCGCAATGGGTTCTGCCATCGCGCGTTGTCCGGGAGGATTCCATCGTGAGACGGGACCGGGGATGAGCGAGGGAGGTGTGGAACGGCAACATCGCGGCGTCTGCGGCCGCGTCCGCGTCCGCGTCGGCGTTCGCGCGATCTTGAGGCTTGGGTCCAGCGAGATCTACTCCCATGGACTGACTTTGCAACGAGGTGGGTTTGTGCCCGGATTTCTCGGTCATTCCTGCCGTTTCCTCGAAGGGGAAGGTTGTGTTGATGGATGTGGAAGAGGTCCAAGGCAAAGATACAATTACGAGGACCCTAGAGAAGGGCAAGGAGAATTACAAGATACAAACAAATAGGGGATACATGGTGACGGATCACCTACTTCCTTGTGACATGCCTGCCAAATTGACCTCATTCATTCAGTTTCTTGACTAGACTTGTTGTCACCCTGTTCTTTTGTTCTACACCATGTCGCCGTTCCTCATGCGTCATTGTATTCCTTTGTGATATTCGCTTGGGCAATATTCGACGATGTACCGAGCCATACAAGTCACATGAACGATCCCTCCGCTCGAGCTAGAGACGCGCTCGTGGGCTGCAGACTGCGAGTAGCATGGAGGCCTAAGGTGATGGTCAAACGTATAACCAGGGGGACAGTCCCGGCTGTCATCCAGCCTGGGGCTTGCTGGATTCGCTTGTCTGTGGATCGGTCGTGAATGGTTCTGTGATTGCGGGTTCCTTTGTCATTCTGAGGGAAGCCACCGTGATAGTACGTACATATATCTCAAGGACTATAGAAGAGGTAGCACACCATTGACAAACCTTGCACAAGCTGGTTGAGATGACGAGCCGGTCACTGGCAGCAGCTTGCGGGTTGACCGGTAAAAAGACATTGAGACCACACCGCAGCTGGGGACGTATTCTGGTAGACAGCATCAATGGAGTCCCTGAGCAACATGGCGCAGATTTATCATCATGTGGAGCGACGAGGCCACTCTGATTCTCTCGCACTCGATTCCAATACGCTGTGACGGCATGGCGTGGACAAGATCAATGGGACTTGTGAACGAGGACGGGATTAGGATGTCACGGCGTGTCTGTCGACTCGTGACTGACGTGCATTCTTCAGCACATCGAGTCAATCAGCGAAGCAGTTCCCAATCAGAGAAAACCCCTCGTTTTCAAGTCTGAATGACGGGGGGATGAACCGGCAGAAGAGCTCCACATGATCAGGCACGTACTCGTAGACGGGGTGGTGCCTGGGACGATCCAAAGGGGGACTATCGGCTATCTGTGAGTTGACGAGTCTTGTATTTTCTTGAATACCGCCCTGGAATATCAGTAAGTAGACTTGACGGGCAGCATGTCCATCGTGATGCCCCATTGGTGGTTGTCTGATACTCGAAGAAAGATTCATCCATCTCCTCGTCGTCCACCCCTTCCAGTTGCCTGACTCGGAAACTCGAACTTCTCTCGCGTATCCAAAGTTTGGCGAAAGAGTCGAGAATTTAGACTGGTGTGCGTCATGCGTGACCTTTGTGACTCAGAGAGAAAAAATGGCGTCGAGGCAAAAAGTGCGAATACGTGCCTCAATCTGTCGTTGGTCTGTTTCCCCGTGATTGGCGGCAGCGTACTCGCTATTAATTATTACCTCGTACTCGGTCCATTGCTTGTTTATTGGACCTTTTTCTGTTTTCATTCTCCCCACAGCTGATGCCACCAGAATCACACGAACAGGCAGCTCGCTACCCCCGCCTCTTTCGTAGATGCTCGACCTCAAGTCTTCCTCTTCGTCTTCCTCTTCGGTCGCTATATAGGGCAGGTGGGTTTTTATAAGAGGTGGACGATCAAGAGGAGGCCGCAGGACCGCACGGCAGGAATCGTCGAGGGATCATCGCCGTGTGTGTGAGAAAGCCATAAGGCTGACGAAGAAGCCCTCATGACTCAGATCAGCCATGATCCTCGACTGCATCCACTGCATCCACTTGACAAAACCCACTTCATATGGATTCGTCGAATCGTTACCTGATGCGGTAGCTCCTACGCGGAATTCTATTGTAGTCAGGACCTATCACCCAAATGCACCATACACTTCCTCTGTGGGCGGAATGGTGCTGCCTGCGCGTGGTCCCATACGGTAGAGTTAAGGCCACCATTGAATGACAAGACAAGCTTCATGCCAAACCTCTGCCGGCGCCTTCGTCCGCTTCGCGGTCGGGGCTATAAAGACGTGGACGAAAGCCGTCTGCCTGAGGTCCTGAGGCCTACGTCCTCTGTCTTCATACCGAAACGCGCCATAGCAGTCGGCATTGCTGGAGGGGAAAAGCTTACTTGAACATCCTCGACCAAGAAAACCTCTTGCAAGAATACTCGGAGATACCATTGCCCCACCCACTGAAACAAACCCATTGAACAATCCAGTACCTAACAAGATGTCGTCGGATTCCAAGGCCAACGTGTCATTCGACGCTGCCTCGATATCGACCTCATCTCTCATGAGTGAGAAGGAACGGGCCAAAAAGGAGAAGAAGGATTCACTGGTCAAGAGGGTCGTAACAGGTACGATATAGATGGACTCATGGCCCGCTCTCATTCTTGTCAGACATGGCATTGAACCTGTGGACAAAAGGATCAAGGCTAATCAAAACCCCCCCCCCTTCTCTGTTCGCTCTACAGCCATCAAGAACTTTGACCCTCCCGAGCCAAGAATCCCCAAAGGCCGACACGAGTACATGCCCGCGTGGGCGGTTTGAAAACATGCAACGCATCCCTCGGGTGTATCTCCGTGCCTGGTTCAACAGTACTGTTTCCTCCTCAGCATGGCGGGGATCCAGAAGAGAGGATTACTCCGAGGTGAATCACCGGCACTGGTGTCCGACGGGAAGAATGTGGCCTGCCGATTATATATATATTGAACAATCAGGCTCGCGAAAATGTCATTGTTGATGGCTGCATGGTTCAGAAAAGTCCATGCCATCAAGAGCAACGGTGGTGATGAGGACACTTGGATTATTAGCCGTGACTCTTCTTGTTTAATAGTTTTAACGCGATTGTCGTGTGCCGCGACGATGCAGTAAAGGGCTAGAACGGCTACACTTGAACACAGTACCAAGGGGGAACACCCCTAGGTGATTCAGAGTAGCTTGTCTGCGTATTCAGCAGCGTGGAGCACAGTACAATGAGTATCACGATCTAATATTTGAAAGAGAAAAAAAGACGCAGTCTGGATCGTCAATTTTCATGGATTTAATTCCATGTTCTAGCAACAGTTGCACACCTGTGCGGATTGTTCCACTGTCATGTCGCATTAAAAAGAGTCACTCTTTGTCTCGGCACTACGAATCCATGTGAGCATCGTGAGTCTCGTGAGTGAGTGCTAACCGCATGCTGAGGAAGAAGATATCTTGCACGCGTCCTTGAGAAATACTCGCAACAGATAATGTCGGCGTCTGTCTGTTTGTCTCCAAGATTTCCCAAGACCGCCTCTCCTCGTGTTTGTCAGCTCGAAGCGGACTCTTGGGGTCCCCAGCCACGCCTCTCGGTTTTAGTTCCAGAACAGTACTTCGTGTGTTCGCTTGATCATCTTCCCCTTCTTCGCGCACGCGGCAATGCACGCCTGAGGGCCCGCATTGCTGCCTGTCCCGACGGCCGGCACTCGCCCGTAGATGTCCTGAGGGTTCAGTCCGCCTCCAATGATGGTGCCGGTGATGTTCTGTGGAAACGAGAAGAATGCGTTGGCGAGGTTGGTGGTCCCGGAGTCGTCCGAGTTGAGGGCCGAGACCAACTGCGCATTCTCGCAGCCAATGTTCATCATAGTGTGGATGGAGGCCTGAGGAAAGATAGTCATCTGGCCTGGTTGGAGCGTTTCAGTCACGGTTCGGGCACCGTTCTCGGCCACCATGTAGGTTTGCGTGGTCCCTGCGATGGCAACGACAAAGTTGGTGGCACGGGGGTGAATGTGTGGTGGAAGCATGGAGCAAGGACCCAAGTTGAGCAGCGCCTTCAAAAGAGAGAGTCAGAGGGACATGATGTATGTGTGAGAATGCGGTGACCCCTACCATTGTCATGCCATGGCCAACAGTTGCCGGGAAAGTAGCAGCGTTGGCGTTGACCACTCCTCCAGGCGAGAAGGTGTACTTCTCCTGCTTGGTGAAGTCAAAGAACCAGTCCGAGTCATTCGGGAGCAAGTTCATGCGGTCCAGGTGCGTGTCGGCCACGCGAAGCTTAGCGACGAGGTCTGGGTTCTTGTCATTATCGACAGCCAGGGCCACAGAAGCCACAGCGAGGCAGGAAAGGAAGCTGGGGCCGATAAACATGTTTGCAAAGGCTTCCAGCTAGAGTAAAAGTGGTGAAGAGGCGCAGGTAGGAGTGAGGTGGAGCACAATCTGTGTGAAGCAAATCTTTCGAGCTCGAGAACAGCTGTTAGCCTCTCTGTCTGTGTAGGTTTGTTGAAGATAGGTGACCCTGTTATCACGAAGAATGATGATTGGAAAGAGTATCAAGACAGATCGGAATTGACTGTGGTAGTGTTGACAGTATCTTGGCGATTCGAGGTGATATGGGCGTCAGGAAATCTAGCCAAGTTCCTTCGAGGCGAGGTTGAAAAATAGTGAAGTGAAGGTGAGAGTAAATTCGCTTCGAGGTATCCTTGGTCATTTGGCCGTTGTCACACTTCACTCACCCAGATATCTTCAATCAGTTCGGCACATGCTCCTCTAACAACATGAAGTGTTGCCACGTCAAGGTCCCAGCAGGAGTCAGATCGGTAACGGGTTGAACGCCTCAGTCACTCATTTTGAGAACGCCTCACGGTTGAATTGGGTCGCTATCTCCCACATACTCATCCACGATCCCAGATATTTACTGACGATGACATTGCTGGCACCATCCGTGTGTCCTGTCCATTGTATGACGATGCTATGTTCCCATGACAGCAGAGACAAAGCATCAAGTGACATAATCAGACATCGCAAGACTAAGACGTAATGTGAACAAAGTAAGGTCATGTCGTTCCAATATGCCTTTATCATGGATTGAATTGGGGGTATAGCGCGCCCTCCGACCAGAAGGATACAAGGTAACGAGACGTCAGGCTGAGACTCTCCGGTTTCTCCCTATGACCTGGGTTGACGGTCATGCATTCCGGTGGATGGCCTCGATGCGCCATTGATTAGAGCTCTCAGTCTGGTCTGTTCGAAGACTTTCTTCGGTGGTTATGAGGTCTACCTTTTGCGGGATGCACCTCTTTCCCACATCCTGCGCTCAATTGAACGAAGGCGGCACATCGCAGGAGCATTGCTGGGCGGGGAATATCAGCCACTTGACGGTCTCAAGGCGCTGCACCTTGAGTGGGTTCAGCTGCGGATGCCTGTGTTGTTTCTGCTAGCTACGTCGAGGAGGGCTTGACTGAGCCATGGGTGAGCGACACGGTCTAGAGTACGATGTCAAGAATAGGGTGGTGACGGTGGTGCTGGTGCTGGTGCTGGTGCTGAGAAGAGAGAAGAGGCTGATGTGCAAGGATCAAAGGTGCAGATGTCAAGCCGCTATCCGCAGGCAGAATCAGACTCGGCAAATTCAACTTCCCCTTTCTTTTAGCCGCCTACAGACAATGCATCCATCATCACTATTCATCAAGGCTCATCTCTACTCACAGTCCTACATACCACAACCTCATCGAACCATACGATTCTCCCGCATCGACTTTTGTTCCACGACTGGATAAGACTATCCGCCTCGCCCCTGTTCGCTCACCGTTCCAGCCTTTCCGCGATAAGCTGCGAGAGCATCACATCAACTGAACCCACCAGCGCCCCAATAACCCTCCACAACGTCAACTGGAACGGCCTCAATGCGTCTTACGTGCATAGATACTTGAGACGCGGTAGACTATGGTGCAAAACAAAGGACCTCTGCTCAAGATGCTTTAGGAGCTGGAGAATGTTTGTTCTCTATCAGAATTGGCTGACGGACCTTGCCCTCTTCTTGTGGCTCGAGACTCCTAGTCTCTGTTGGCCTGGCCTTGCTCTTACTGACTTGTGGCTTTCAGAACAGATCTGTGACAGCCCCATGACTGGCATCACTGACGAGCGCTGCATATTTTGCTAGTGTGCCCCTCGTTACTGCCGGCTTTGGAGGTTTCCACTCCTTTCGACGTCTTTCCAGCTCCTCGTCACTGACATCCATCGAGATACTGTTTTTCTCGGCATCGATTGTCACTTCATCACCATCTTTGACCAACGCAATCGGCCCACCAACGGCTGCCTCGGGACAAACGTGGCCCACGATAAATCCGTGTGACGCACCCGAGTACCGTCCATCAGTCACAAGAGCGACGTTCGTGAGACCTGCCCCCATGATGGCTGCACTGGCCTTTAGCTGCTCCGGCATCCCTGGCCCACCCTTGGGTCCCTCATATCTGACGATGAGCACAAGATTCTCTCCACGTGGTATCGCACCTCTATTCAGCGCATCGTTCAATTCAGCCTCCTTTTCAAAACACCTCGCCTTTCCTGTGAATCGAAGGCCTTCTTTTCCTGTGATCTTTGCTACCGCTCCGGCAGGTGCAAAATTGCCTTTGAGAATCTGAATGTGCCCGCTCTCCTTGATGGGGTTTTTTAGGCTCTTGATGATGACTTGATCGCTGGGAAGACTGGGCCAGCTCGCGACATTCTCAGCCAGGGTCTTACCAGTTACTGTCAAAATGGAGCCGTCGAGCATGCCCGCTGCGATCAGGAGTTTCTGTACACTTGGCACGCCCCCGATCTCGTAGAGATCTGCCATGGAATATCTTCCCGATGGTGCAAGATCTGCGAGGAAGGGGATCTTATTGCTCACGCGCTGGAAGTCATCGAGGGTGAGCTCCACACCTGCGGTGACGGCCATGGCGAGCAAGTGGAGGACCGCGTTGGTACTTCCTCCTAGGGCCATGGTTATGACGAGTGCGTTCTCGAAGGATTTGGGGGTCAAAAGTTTCTTTGGTGTGATGTCCTGTTCCAGGCAGACTTTGATGGCATCTGCGGCTTTGGCACATTCGCGCATTTTAGCTGGCGAACTCGCTGGTGTCGAACTCGATCCAGGCAGCGATAGTCCCATTGACTCGATTGCTGTGGCCATGGTGTTGGCGGTGTACATGCCACCACAGGCCCCGGCACCTGGACAGGCATGCCTTTCAAGATCCTCCATGATCTCGTCTTTGGTCTTGGATGTGTCACCCCCATCGTCTGGTTGACGCAGGGTATTGAACGTGTACGCACCAAATGCCTCGTAACAGGTGGCGACGTTAATGGGCCGGCGCAAAGTCTCCGAGTATCCTTTGTCGATTGTCCCTCCGTAAATCATCAAACTCGGTCTGTTGTGCCTCGTCATGCCCATGATGCAACCCGGCATGTTCTTGTCGCAGCCAGGAATGGTGATATTAGCATCATGCGCTTGAGCACATGTCACCGTCTCGACCGAGTCGGCGATGATCTCGCGAGTTTGCAAACTGAAACGCATTCCTTGGTTTCCCATGGTGATGGCATCGCTCACACCGATGGTGTTGTACTGCCAGCCCAGCATTCCACGAGCATTGACGGCCTTCTTGACCTCCTTGCCCAGGTCTAGAAGGTGCATATTGCAGGGATTGCCCTCCCACCAAACACTGGCGATGCCGACATGAGGAGCCGTCTGCATTGCTTGTCTGTCTGGCACGCCCGCGGCGAAGAGCATAGCCTGTGCCCCGGGGAAGTCATGCTGACGAGTCAAATGCGTTGAGTAGCGATTGAGCATGGGCTTGCCATCGACACCGGTGGGCTCCGAAGAGCGCACGAAGTCGAGATAGCGGGGTTCCTGGAAGCCACCTGTTTTATCCATCTTGAAGGATTATCTTGCTCTTGACGCTCAGTCCTGCGCGCGATTGAAAGGGAAGACCGTACGACAGGCGATGCTCGGGAATTAGAAATGATGGGCCAATGTCAAAGACACTTTCGGTGATAGATTTGCCAGGGCCGAGGGTGTGGGATCTCGAGCTCCCAGCGACGATGCTGTCTGTGGTTTCTGACGGATGCGACAGAAACTTTGTGACTGGAAAATTCCAGGCCGGGAAGAACCTTCGAAATACGAGACGTTCGATTGGCAGAATCCGTTGCTCCATTGCTCACTCTGGCATTCATGATCCTCTGGGTTCCCCACATTGTCATATTGGTTTCTCGGAGTTGACGCCGAACGAGGGGAATTGATCAGATGAGGGTTGGAGGGGCTGACAAGGCTGTAGTTCCTAGGCTTAAGGGTGCTTGTTTGCACTGTTTGCATCATAAGGTGTGATTGCACTGTTTTGTATGTTTGTCAGTTTTCTCCCTGCAACGACGTCACTCGACATCGAGACCCCCATTTCTATCCAACAAGTTGGACACTTGAAGCCCTTTTTGACCACCTTATTTCCTGTCACGACATTTGCTGTGTGATTCACAGGCAAGATACCCATCCGCAAAGGATCACGGACCAGATGCCGCTTCCGCAGAATCCGCGGCAAAGAAGATGGGCCCCAAAAGTAAGGACTGGTTGTAAGACTTGCAAGTAAGTACGCGAGTTATCTCAAGTTTCCTCACCGCGGTGACAACTCTAGGAAACGCCGGAAACGCTGCGACGAAGGAAAGCCGTATTGCATGAGGTAACGACAGCCCGATCTCGAGCTCTCATATCCTAACGTCGACCAAGATGTTTGAATGACAAGTTTCATTGTGACGGATACGAACCTCCAAAGACCTGGCTGTTTGAGCCATCTCAAAAGGATAAAGTCGACACTTCAAAACGAGAATCAAGCTCGCTGCAGGCATTTCAGTCTCACCAAGAGTGCCACAGGTCCTCTGTAATCGCAAGAAATAACAATCAGACTCTTTCCAATCCCACCAGGATCCTCGCCGAACCTTCGACCCCGTGGATGGTAGACGCGGACCACAATTACACCCATTTGTTCCTCCGTAAAACCGCGCCTCTTCTCTCTTCCACCAGAAAATGGCGTCATTTCTGGCAATCCATCGTCCCACAAGTTGCCTGGGCGAACCCATCGGTCCATCATGCAATGATAGCGGTCGCGGCGACTTTTGACTCTTATATTTCGGGGATTGATCACACTGTCCTGATATTGGAGCGGAGATCCCAAGCTGTTCGTGCATTTACAACCCAGCCTCCTTCATGGGATGTCGCGCTGATCGTCTGCCGACTGTTCTCCGCAATGGCTCAGTGCAACGAGGATTTCACGGCCGCCATGGCGCACATGAAGAGCGGGGAGAATATTCTCAGAGAAGCGACCCGAAATGAACATACACGGTCCGAAATTGCTCGGCTGATGGCTGCGACCTTTTTTGGCCTATCAGCCGACACAAACAATGATATTAGTGTTATGGATCGATTCCCTCCGAGCAAGCGCCGAGCCTTTCTTGAGCTGAAGGTTATAGGCGCTGACTATGCAAGGCTCATACGCCGAATAGCACAATTGCGCCTTCAAGACGTCGCCACGCCGACGATGGGTTTCCTCTCAGTTGCCTTTACCACGATGAACCAAGCCATCAGCTCTGCCATGTACCCAGACCTCCTGGTATTTTCTGAAGACGACGGGGTCGTGCCTGCAGCCGAGGTCCGCACCAAGCTAGTACGAGAAGATTCTTTGATGACCATGGACGAGCTAATCATCATGTATCCTTGTCTATGCTATGAGCTAGAACACTACCTGGATGGCATAGCCACGGGCTCGGGCACTCCAATGGCGTCATCTCTCAATGATCTCAAGCAGCGGCTCAGAGTCCTCGTGGACAACTACGTCGTGCAGGCGTCAGATATCGAGCCGCGCATGACGGCCGGCACATTTTGGCTCGACGACCGGGGGGTTCCGGGGTGCTTGATGCACAAGCACCTCGACCGACCGCAGACCGGCGTTAGTCCGTGTCTGGGGCAAGGGGGGGCGGGCGCCGGTTTTGAGGATCAAGACCCCGTTTTGCGTGAGAGGAGAGGGTACTACCACGAACACGTCTGTCAGTATCGGAGTGGTTTCATGTGTTGACCTGGTCTGGTTCGAGTGTCATCAGCCATATGAACTCGACTTTTTGGCTCTTTTTGAAGCTTCATCACCACCTCCCTCTTTCCTCTTCAGAGCCCGTTCAGAAGACTTTCAAGTCATTGGTGTTTTTTTGGGTCATATCACATTGGTATATAAAATCTGCTGTTTCTCTGGGTATCTCTTCTCCTTTTGGAAAAAAACCGGTTTCACACGCGCGCGCCTTTTTGTTTTCCCCTTCCCACCCATCAGCAGACGTCTTTAGCGGGCGATATGCAAAATAAAAAAAGGCTCTCTATACACTCAACGCTCGACGCTCATTGATCGAGCCCCATTCCTGCCCTTATCCTCTCCTCTCAAGTCTGGCAAGAACACGTCCAAGGCAGACAAAAAGCCCACAAGCACAAAAAAAGGGTCGTTAAGGAGAGACACGAAAGGGTATCCAACAACTCCCGACGGCCATGGAGAGAAGTTATACTCCGATGGCCACATTCCCTTTTTTTCCCCTCCCTCTTGGCCATCCCTAGAACTCTCGACATACCTAGGGATGTCCACCCACGGCTTCCTGCCTCAAGGGCAAGGTTACTGGATGATAGAAGGGAACGACGGGGCAACTGGTCGAATGTCAGTATTTGAAATCCCAAAAGACTCGCGAAAGGGCAGCCACTCACTCTCCATGATGGCAGGGCCAAAGAGCACTTCGTTGGCACTCAGGCTTCTGCCGGAAATGTCGACGATCGTGATGAAAATGAACACTTGGCCGCCACCGATACTGCCTGGGATGCTGACGTTGATACTTCCGTCACTTCCAAAGACGGCCTGTACCGAGACCACCTCGAGGCCGGCAATGAACGTCACAAAGACGACTTCGACTCGAGAGAAGTCATGGTGCGACTTGGAAAAGTCTGGAATGAGTTGAAGAGACGAGCCGGCACCGGGGGCGGAGCAAGATGAGGCAGAGCCACCGTTTGTGCGCGCCTCGAGAGCGGTGCTGCGTCGTGCATAGGCAGGTGTGGATGTGGCCATCGAGGCCATATCCGTGGTCGTGGTTGTTGTAGTTGTGACTGACGCAGCGGCCTCGGCGGTCGCCATATCCATAGTTGTGGTAGTGGTTGTTGAGTAGTCGGCCGAGTCAGTGGTAGTGGTAGAAGAGGTGGTGGTGGTGGTTGTCGACGTGCTGTCGTAGGCGGCTGTTGTGGTTGTCGAGTCAGTGGCATCAGCTCCATACGCGCTTGTGGTGTCCGTGGCAGTTTCGATGTTGGCCACAACGGTAGCATAGTTGACGGATTCCGTGGAGAAACTGTCGCTGCTACCACTCTCGTCGAAGCAGGCCTGGGAGTTGGTCTTCAAGCCGGGGAACGCAGTGAATGGCAGCGGTGGATTGTCGGCAGGGCAGGAGACGATGAACTGTGAGGCAATGGTAAAGACCGAATTGGGGTCAAGAGGCTTGAATGGCTCTCCGTTAGTCCAAGTTTATCGCTCAAACAGCCAGCTGTACCCAAAGGGAGGTTAGACTTACAGTTGTAAATGGATTGGGGGCGGCAATTGCACCGAGCGAGCTTCTCTGCGAACTGGTATGCAATGCCTCCGTGGCCATAATACTGGCAGCTACCGAAAGGATATCTCGCGACCCGATGAAGGGCGCCGCTCCGAGATAAGCACTGGTTCCCACAGATTCCAGGATGGCGCTCACAGTGACGAAGCTGGCAACGTCCGTCACTGGGAAGCTATACTGGCAAGGTTGGACCGGTCGAACACCGGCAGATTCAATCGCAGCGATGAGGAACTCAACGTGTGCCGATTCGTCCGACGCTATGAATTCAAGGTTGAGGAAGAATGCCTCGTCAAAGCCGGCATTGACAAAGTCCTGCAACTTGAAGCTGCTAAAGGCTTCCTTGTAGAAGGTGTTTTCAAGGTGCTCGAGCTATTCAGGATGGGTTAGATTGCTGACGTCCGTCTCAAGGATAGAGCTTGACAGAAGGGACTACTTACCGTCAGAGCAAATTGCAAGATGGTGATGTCAACCTCGGAGAAGCCGCCACCACGCTTGGTAACAGGATGGGCCAACGTCAAGCCGGCGAAGAGGGTGCTCAGACCAGAAAGAGTGAATGCTTTCATTTTGAGGGAGGAATGGGGTTCTGTGCGAGCGCGACTGATATCAAAGGGATATGACGGAAGACGTATGAATGAGAGTGTCCAGCACACGGTCAGGCAAAAGCAGAGCTTGTCAAAAGCTTGGTGAATGGAATGAAAGGCAGACTTGTCAAAAGCCTCGTAGAAAAGAATGACTTATCAAAAGTCTTTTGAAGGAAGGACTGTAAGCTGAGTGCTGGTTGGAAGAAGTGCTGATCGATATCATTCTAGCCATCAGAGGGAGGGTTATATACATAGTCTCTGCCATACCAGACAGCTTCCAAGAAGGAAGTGTGAAGATCCGAGCATCGCCTGCTCGATCAATCATCTCGGTAACCCGTACGGAGTTCATCATGTCAGCAAAAGTGTTCAACTCACTACAAATTTTGACACCGGATCATGGAAGGTGTTTGTTTCAACTTTCCCAGTGGTGTTGTATCAAGGAGCAATACCTCGAGGGGGCAAGAAAAAAGGAGCCCTGTATCTCATTCATGGGGTAAGCGTGCCCAAGCTATCTCTCGGAAGTTGATAGTTGCCGGGAGGTAGGCGTTGAGATTCCCGCAGTGATCTACGCCAGGAGGAAGGGCAAGGGGAATGTTTGCGCAGGGCTAACACCTAGGTCGAGATCTGGGGAGGGGGCCCAGAACCTGACCGAGCCAGTGCCTATTCCATTTCGGGTGGTTATTGCAGAATTCACTAAACGTCGCGAATGATTGCAATTTTAACTGCGACACCGGAGGAGCCTGAGGAAGCGGTATGAGGCTAGGGCGGGGCAGGGCGTGTAAATCCAGCGGCTGTCTTCTTGACCGTTGTGGCAGGTACCAGCCACAGTGGTAACTTTGAAACAGTTTATGTCTCTCAGTGGCTCAAAAGAAAATGGCAGAGGGAGATGGTGACCGGAGGGTTGAACAGCCGAACAATGGTGAAGCTGTTGACATGTTTCAGCGACAAGAAGGCGCGACAATGCCAAGCCTGAGCACGTGAATCCAACAAAGCTTGGCATGAGCTTCGGCTCAGAGCTTTAACAGTAGTCTATACCTTATTGAGAGAACCTGACGTCAGTGGGGCGATGCTCGAAGATCCCCAGCTCGGGCCCTGGTGGCCCTGGCTTTCTCCCTGTGCCTCATCCAACATCATTGTAGATCAACCTGGTTTTACTTTTGCTCAAAGTCCTGTTCAGCTCCCTGTGTACACTTCTCAGCTCACTACCCATTTGCCCTGCATAGCCCGGGAACTCACATCAGTGGTTCATCTGACAATCCCATTGGTTCATTGCTGGAACATCGTCTCCGCTATGATGTATGCTGGTATTTCGCAGCACGCCTTGATTGTCCGATCTTTCCCTCTATCAATTCTGGTATGAGTACTGGCAGCATGTGCAATGTACAGTGGCCAATGCCGTGAGAGAGAGTCGAATTTAACTATAAAGATAAGCCAGCTGGCGCCCTTTTCTTCAACCCTATCCCTACACCTGGACTTTCACTGCATACCCGCATTCTCTGGCCCTTTACAAAACAATCAAAACCATTTCTGGCAAGAAGAAAAAGCATAACCTCTTGTAACACAGACAACATGAATAACCAAGGACAAGCAGCTGGACAGAAGGAGGACTACCTCGACAAAGGTAACTCGATTCCTCACCTCTCTTTTCTTTCCCTTTGAGCTACGGGGGACTAATTCGGTCTCTTTTTGCGTACAGGTCTCGATGCCGTGGAGAAAAAGTTTGGCCAAGGTACATTTCACATTTCTTCTCCCTCGGTCTGCGTCGTCTCTTCTGTACCACTCCTCGCAAAGTCTCGTCAAATGCCGGGGGAAATGCATATACTCTAAAGACTCGTCCTGACCTTGTTCCCTCGATCAGGCAAAATCGACCCCGCAAAGCAAAGGGGCGTCAACGAAAAGATAACCGACAAGGCGCGAGATATGTTTGAAAAGGCCACTGGGAAAGACGTTCCTGACAAGGTACGTTATGTGCTCATTCACAAAGCTGCCTGTTCAATTCCCCAACCTTACGGACTTGGGTGCATTATATATCGCGCGCATCGTTCCTCGCCCAACGTCGTCAATATAAGAAGTGTGCTGGGAACAAAAAATGTAGTGAAGACAAGCTGGGTTGGAAGACTGGGACACCATCACACTTGGCATCTATCTCGACAATTGTGTTTGCGCTATTATGCCCCAGGCATTAACAAGTCTATGTCTAACACTGTGTACATCTCCACAGGTCAGCAACTAATGTGTGGTGTTGATGCTCGATCACTGCAAGGTACCGAGGACTCATGGCGAACCTGGGGGATTCGTTCCCTCAGTTAAGATGGGAAGGGAATTAAATGTTATCAATTGAATGTCCAAGTATTTGTCTTCAGAGAAACATTTTCCCGTGTAAGCAACGATCTATTTTTTCTATACCGGCGTTAAGGTGTCATGCCACGATACTGGTGCTGTTTACCCTTCGAAACCACTCAGGCGAAGCGTCGTGAGTCAGCACACACAGAACGTCATGACTGGTTGCTGACTCCCAGAACTTCGGCCACAAGCATATTGTCAGAAAATCATCTGTAATCCTCCTGTCCTGTTATAGCCGATCAGTCCACAGAAGTTTTTTCCGCCATAGTTGAAGTCCATGGACTTTGTAGTTACACTCTAGCAGCTCCGTGGTTGGGCTCATGGGAGCGTGTGCACAAACAATATACCTCGGAAACGGCGATCTTCTCTTCGACTCCGGAACTCGGTTGATGTCCCTTGGATGAGCATGTCCGTTGATCTCACACAAACATGCCCATTGCCAAACCAGCCCGTTCTATGCGCTCTGTAGTGGACCGATCACGGACATCATCATCCGATAACAACTTTCCATTGCCCCTGCCACCACCGTCAGCACCGTCAACCCATTTCTCCCTTTGTTTCGGAGGCCGCATTGCCATAGGGTGAGATAGGCCTGATGCATGACGTGTCATGCCGGGAGAGAAACCCGCCACCACTCGGAACCAAATTGGAAGGTAATTAAACCGACCGGTCCAGTCCCGTACCGTTGCAGTGCCAAGGCCAATGGAGTGATGGTGGATCCTGCCAGGCCCGCGAACGAATGGTTGTCGTCCCTCTCCACCAAGCAACCTCAAAGTTTTCCCTTCTGAACCAAGTCCCCCTGCATCGCAGTTTGAGAATTCTGCCATCTTCGTTGCCCTCCATGAGCTGGACGCGGTACGAGTGGTTGACCCGCGGATCGCCCATGATCGGGTAGCGCGTGAGGAATCAGCCTCTCTTTCGCACACTCTGCAGGAACCCCCCTTCGCCCAAACCCAACCCACCTCGCGGAATTCTTTTGGCGGCCGATTCCCGTGGGGATGATGGGCCATACAGCCACACTCCATCGGCGATGGTCAGTTGCAGATCATGCTCTCTTCAGAGCAAAATCTCCGTGATGATCAGGGAAAGTATTTCTCCCCCTTGACGTGGCAGCATGGCTTGTGCACAGGGCTTGTCCCACAATTGAGATTTCTGCGCAGGGTCGAGCTTCGAGACCTTGAAATCGTCCTGGTGCCAAGTCTGGAATGTCCAGTCCAGGTCCATCAACTCCACCAGGAAGCGAGATCGAGATCACAACCGAGGACAGATAACACGTGCAAGATAAGGAATGCAAGAGATGTAGAATATCAATTTCGCACTGCAGTCGCTTCGTTGGATTTCAGCCAGGGGAAAACTGTGGGGACCGCATAGTCTCTTCTCCGCGGGTCAGTATCTGAACGTCCAGGATGTGGTCCGCTTAACGCACCTCCAAGGGACGTGTGACTGCCCGGAGAGGTTGGCGGTGCTCCGAGACGGTCCTGCCCATAGCTGCCAACTGTGTCGACCGGTCGGTGTAAACTTGTAGGCGAACGATCCCTCAGTCCGGTTTCGATCAGGAGCCCTTCGGCAGTGATAGACGGCAATCGTGTTCCCGAGATGTTAGATTCGGGCGAGAGTCGTGACGCCGTCTGGACAGTAGATCCTGGTCCTGTGCTGGCGATCGTGGGCGGCGGGGGAACTGGATCAAACGTCCCCGACGATGTCGAGGAGCGCGAGGGTGCTGGAGCGTGTGGGCTGGGCACGGGGAGTGGCAGGATGATGCGCCCTCCCGATGCTGCCAGGCTCGACTCGGACTTGAGTAAAGCAGGAGGGAGGAAATTTTGATCTGTTTCCGCCGTCTCGGAACCGTTATTTGACACCGCGGTATCCTGTTACAACAAATTAGCATCGTAGCCACGTGCAGGCTCGATCAGCAGCAAGAAGATAGCCTTACGATGTCACGCGCTTCCTCGATCAAGGCGCGTACCTCTGGCGACACCATTGGCAAGATCTCATTGAGAAGGCTCTCATACCGCGCCAAACGCCGCGAGGTTGCTGTGAGGTCCTCGGCAGTCCTGGAGAGCGGGGGGGTTTTCAATGGTCAGCATCTACATTCGCAAGCAAGCACACTCATCGATGGGGGCTGAAGTTGCAAAAGCTTACTTCCGCTTCCTCCAGCCCTTGCCGTAGCCATAGTAGCAAGCGGTGCCTGTGTGAAGGCATCTCCGACATGCAGGCCTGGAACCATCACACTTCGTCTTCCGCTCGCGACATGGTTCGCAAGCGTGACTGGTTCGAGCCCGTTCAGGTTTGTCCCATGCGGAGTTGCTTGGCCGTGAAATGGGCAACGAGGTACTTTTGGTGACACCGGCGGGAGACGCGGTAGAAGGTGGAGACAGGCCACTGGTGGTATTGCCAGGCTTCATGGCTGAATTTTGCCGAGGCTCACAGGGGGGTTTCTCGGGGGAAGAGATCAAGGCATACGGGTATCAATATCTGGATGCAGCGATCTAGAGGTAGCGAAGTGTCTAAACCGACAGACCAGAATCGAGTTGTGGAGAGAGCCTTTTGCAGCGGCAGACGGGTGCGCTGATGTAGGAGCAAAGGAAGGAAGAAAGGAGCCAAGCTAGAAACTTCGGAAGAAGATGGTGAGGATATCAACGGGTAGATGTATCAAGCTGCAAGATGCGTGCGGCCGATCTCGTGGTACTAGGATATTCGGAGGAGGGAAAAAGGGTGGAGAGCGAGGCGAGTGGGTTCGATGGCGGACTTGCGCAAGTGTGGTAGGGCAACGCGGTAGACGGAGTCCCCCAGAGCGTTTCCAAGGGGGAAAAGAGGCGTTTGTTTAAGTGGTGAGAGAAACTAGCGAAGGGTGGAATGGCGAAATTTCTGCTGGTTTCTATGATCAGGACGATTTCTGTCAGTCAGTCAGTCAGTCAGCGAGCGCAGTCAGGCAGGCAAGTGGTCAAGTCACTCAGTCAGTCAAGCTGCGAAGCTGCGCAGCTGCGGAAAGACGGGTAGGTGTGATTCTAGGCGACCAAAGCATGGTCCCCAAGTAAATTATTGTCGTTGTACTGACGCCAGACGCCGATGGTTGGGAGGGTCAATGGTTTGCCAGTTGGAAAATTGTAACGGATCGTGTGGTGGGCCGGCGGTGCTGGTCGGGACCCGGAAGGATGGAGCATGAGACCCAGAACAAGCCAACGCAATAGACCGTGTCTGGATCCCCGTACCTTGCTGGAACTGTTCAAGGCCCCAAGGAATCCATAGGCTCGACTAGAACGTCTGTTTTGGAGACAAGCGAGCAAATTCGTTAGATCACGATTTTTTTGTTTTTTTGACAGGGTAGCTGTTATCGTATTGTGGTCTTGGTAATTCGGTACTGTTACTTGCAAAACGGCGATCTCGGACCGAGGACGTGCCAGAGTAAAAGGGTTCGGAGATGGCGGGGGGCGACAGAGAGATTTGTGGGTGGATGCGCAAAAGACGGATAAGCTACGGGGAGAGACAGAAACGGGCAAGACAAAGAAGAGCAGGGGGAGGGAATAACGGTTTTGTGAGGGCTGAGTGGCTCTGTAGCATGACCTGTCGAGGGAGGGTGGGAGAGAAGGTGGGAACTGATGACTGGGGGCGAGAAAAGAGCCGTTGGTCCAAGATTCAGGGAGCAATGGGGGAAAAGTCTCACGCGCGCATAAGAGAGGAATTGTAACGGCGAAAGACGGGGAACAGCCGTGGTTCTGGTTGGAAGTATGGGTTGTGCGCGTGTATTGTTACCTAGTAGGAATAGGAGAAGGCCAGTCAAGAGGCGAAGAATAATGGTGACGATCAAGAGGAGTGTGGGAAGGATTCCGAGAGAGGGTGCGGCGACGGACAGATCACTTACTCAAAAGAGCCTAGAGAAGCGAATGGAAAGGCGAAAGGAGGGAAAAGAAAACATGAAGAAAATGAGAAAATGCTAAAGGGCAGAAAGTTGAGGCAGCAGGCGTGTTATTGGTAGGAATAAACACAAACGTTTTTAATACCTTTGTGGACATATTACCTATGTAGGCTGGTCATTAATTGATACACACCGTGGTTCTTGCTGGGTAGATCCCCACGTACCTACTTGTAAGTACCGAGTACCTTAGGAGTACCTCAGGTGTATACCGAGTAATTAATGGCAGATAGAGTTGTTGCAACGGCTGGCGGGCCGGGATCCGCCATGACAGATTGGACCGAGTACTGGGGGGCATCAGTAAATCAAATACCTATTTACTTATTAGCAGTGAGTAGATAACTCGGGTGCTCAGTCAGGTACCAAGTGGCGGGTACCTGTACCTAACAGTTCCTTTCCCCCCAAAGACATCTGCTCTAGGCCCTACTCTAGGCCCCACGAGTACAAGGAGGGACAGTTCCTTGGCGTCTCTCTGTTGCGATGCTAGTGCAGATCTAGTCAACATCCATCTCTTTCTCATCTGCGGCCATCCCCGTCACCCTACTTGGTACATACTCCTCAGCCCATTTATTCTACGATACTCGTACTGTGCAATTCAATTCTCAATGCAAGACGATAAGATGCATCCTCCCTGCTCAAATAAGATCTGACTCCTCGTTGCCTCGTCCACGTCATCCTCGTCCTCGTCGCCACCACCACCGCCACCACTGCCACTGAACATCAAGTCATCATCTCATCTCTCTCCGAACATCCGACGTGGTATGTCCATCCTCCGCCCAAGTGGTTTGTATCGTTGACTCGTACGACTCACTGTGTACATACTGACTGCTCCCAGGAATACACGCGTTAGCACTACCACATCGGCCTGGCCCGCTGGCTATTGGCCTCCTCTTCCTCTCCATTCAACTCCACCACAAAATGTTCAGCCGGATATAGCTTCCACAAATTCCACAAATGCCCATAGTTCCTCCTCTTCCTCTGCTGCAGCCGCCTTTTCTCTTCCCTCATCCAATCATGCTCGGCTGGAGATCGGGAAATTTATCCAATCTTTGCTCCACACTTTTCTTCTGGGTTCGGACAACAACCCCAGCATCGGATTTAAAATCCCTCTTGATGTCTCCACAGGCCTCCTCTTAGCTCTACGGATCCGTACACTCGGGTGCGTTTACTACAAGTACGCCGTATTCCGAAATCGTGAGTTTCTACGCAGGTTCCAAGTCTACCTACCGGCACACTTGTTCTTTACGCTCTTGTGGCGTCGGGGCCTGCATGCACCTCGCCTCATTCCATCACGCGACTGTCTGACGCATGGCATGAACCGGCGGTGCTAGCACGAACTCGGAAAACATCAGGTCGCCTACAACCACGCACTGCACCCCCCCCCCCCCCCTTCAAACTGGGGTTGCTGAGTACCTGCCGCTGAGTTCAAGAAATGTGTCAGAGTATCATTGTTTGACAAGCTCGATTGTGGCTCGTCCATCCTGACAAAAAAGAAACAGACAATTTGTCACCCTCCGCAGTCAGGGGCAGTCAGCGGAGCCTCTCGCCAAAAGGTACAATCTCATCCAACGAGTTTGAAGAGCTGGCAGCCTCGCAGATTCTAAAAGGCCTCGGTGATATCCACCTGCAGATACTTGTATCAATTACGCCTGTCTAGAGAGACTGTCAGGATGCAATTTTCCCTCCTCAACAAACTGGGCATCCTATGAAATGCCATCTTGGCCCTTTTGGGGAATCTTCGTTGACTCCACCTGCTCAGAACTCGAGCTGAAACTCCCACCCCTGTGGAAGAGATGTCCTTCAAAGACAAGTAAAGCTTGATCAAGGTTTGGAATCTTCACCAACACGACCCAAACGAAGTTAGAACCAGCGGTAAGATGCAACGACCTTAACCTTCTCGTCGCCGCGACACGTGAAAACCCCAATGGAAAAGGAATCCGGAAGCCAAAAACCACGGACAGCAAACACAACATCGAGCTTCATCGGGATTAAAAAGTCTAAAATACCGGTATGCATCTCCCTCTGCGTTTCAAACCGATTGCCATCTTCTCTCTGTCCACCCCTTTATTGAATCTCATGTCTATCGCAAGGCCCAACTCCCGTCTCTTCCGCTAGATCTGTCTAAATGACACACTCATGACGTCGTCAAAGGTCGAAATCCGACAATAAGAACATCGGGTACTTACTCCCGATGGCTTGCTGCTCTCGATTTGCATGTGGAGAGCTTTCGATAAAGTCAATGGGAGTTCTGCATCCAACGAACCAACAAAACGCCAGATTGATCCCGGATCGTGAGACAAACAAATACGCGCGTACGAACACACAGAGAAGCAGACTTTGCACCCTTCTTAGAAGAGGAAAAGGTCGCCCCAACATCCTCTGCATGTGGTGTATGCGAAAACCACAGCACAAGCACAATCACAAGCACCCACGACATCACCTGAAACGCCCACGCTGTGCAACACATCAACATCACCCAGGATTCCCTGGTTTCCCATCGCTCATCGCAAACCCCTCCGGGACACTCAGTCATTTTGTATTTGTCCTGCTTTCTCCCTTTGTCCTACCCAAATCCAGCGTCGTACGTGTTTCGAATGATGATCTCGGCCTCTTTTCGGCAACGATTTCGTCGTCTTGATCACCGCTTGACACTCGCCTTTCTGACCGGTTCGACACCCTGCATAGCACCCAGCTTCACTCGATCCAGGCTTACTCGAGGCGCCCTCCCGCGCGCCGGGGTAGGACCTGTCCCCGTAGTGTCCCACTCCTGGATCCGGCGCTGTATGTCCGGATCGCTTTCGTCTCCGATGAATGTCCAGGACTCCTCAATGTTGCCGCCTTCATCGAGGTCAATAGCGGTAAGCCCATCTGCTTCTCCAGCTGCTGCGGCGGCGCCCCGTTGTTGGATCGCGGCGCGGGCCCTGACTAGCGATCGTGCGTATTCGAGGTCGCGGTAGATTGCTTGAATGGCGGTTTGCACGCCGTTCTCCTGCAGCACAGCATTAGCACATCTCTTCACACACAAGTTCCGCCTCTTGTCCTCAAGAACAATACCAAGTGACTCATCATCCAAGGTAAAATAAAAAAAGGGAGATATCTCTCTCACCTTGCGAATCTGCTCTCCTAACAACCTCGCCTTCACAATCATCCGCTCGCTGTGCGTCGCCTCCCAAAGCGCCCTTGAGAACACGCTCACGTTGACCTTCTTCAAGCAGATACCCACGCCGAGATCCTCCACTCTCGATCCAAAAAAGAACTGGTCCCCAAAGAACGGTTTCACCACCGTCGGAAGTCCCGCTCGGAGACTGGCGCCGGTGGTCCCCGCGCCGCCGTGATGGCACGCCGCATCAATCTGACGGAACAACCAGTCGTGCGGCGCCGACTTGATCTGGAAAATGTCCGGGGGCAGCGGAACCTCAGTCTTGAGAGCTTGCGGATCGCCGAGGCGATCGGACCAGCCCTTGGAGAGGATGCAACGCACGTCGGCCTTGA